GTCACAGCTGAATCAATTATGGCTTATTAGCTACACCAAGGAGTGCATAATTTTTTAGGTAAACTTTATATTTAGCAGTTTGTAAATGAGACATGTAGAATGAGGTGATTTGGATGAAATGTTGCGATTTTAAGTTTAGATTTGGTCAATGAAACAGAAAGTTACACAGCAAGTTCGCGTTTTTACAGTTTGTGACTCTGTTAAATGGTGTAATTTGGCAGATTTTTAAACAACAACATGCATTTAAAACCAGCTGGAGGGTTTTGTGGTTCAGAGGTTTAAGCAGTTAAATTATGGGGACAGTAGCAGTTGGAGTCTTTGCAGAGACGAGAGAGATTTTTGCACATTAGGTGTTACTGGAGCCAGAGTAATGACAGATTAATGCATGGATCTGACATCATCTAAAAGCTGCAGCAAATGAACCGTCAGACCGTTAGACAGCTACTAAACAACCAAGTGCATCAGCATACGTAATATTTTAAGTGTTTCAAGGTGGAACTTGTCTTCTCAAAATGACAAATTGCATATTTTATAAACCCATTTGCACTCTGCTGTTTTTCCTCTCTGCCACTTCAGTGCCTCCTCATGTCCCGTCCTGCGACGTGCCGAGCTCGGTGTTTGTCGGTTCAGGCCTGGAGCTGCTCTGTAAGGACAAGCTGAGCGTACCTCCCGCCACCTACCGCTGGTACAAAGACAACAGGGCTCTGACTGGCGCAGGAGAAACTCCCTACAGCATCGACACAAACAAGGGCACGCTGGTGAGAATGCACTATAATATGTAAACACGACAACACAAATGTGCAGACACGCAGGTGTAGCTTTCTTCACTCCCCCTTGTGCCTTGTCTCTGTTTGTCTGGAGCAGAAGTTTAAAAGCGTGTCCAAGCTGGATGCAGGGATGTACCGCTGTGAGTCCTCTAACAGTGTGGGGGCGCCCAAGAGCTGTGTGGCGCAACAGCTGAAAGTTGTTGAATGTATGTATGTTTGTAAAATCCACTCACACACGCTCATGTTTCATGTTTTCCTGACCAAAGACTAAAAGAAAAATTCCCCTCCTTCCAGATCCTTTGAATATGACGATCCTAATAGCAGGTGCTGCAGGTTTTGTGGCGCTCCTCCTGTTCTGCTGCATCTGTCTGTGCGTCTGCCGCCACCGAGGCTGCTGCAAGAGTGAGTAGAGTGATGTAGACTCAGTGTGTGCCTGTCACACTAACACTGATTTTTTTTGACTGAACGCACAAACGTACATGTCCACAACACTTCTGTTCTGCCTACACAGTATTATTTTTCCATTTGTTGGGTAGTGAACAAGAGTCTCTACCTACTGACATACATAAATATAGCAATCAGACGAGCAAGCAGTTATTATTTCATAGTGTTTAGGCCAATAAGTGAAGACACGTCTTGTGAAACATTTAAATTCAAATAAATTTTAACATCAGAGTAATTTCATCATGTCTTTAAAACAAAATCGGTTTGTCACAATATCAGATTTTCACTACGCAATGACCTAAAGAAGTCATGATGATATCCTAATAGTAGTTTAAAAAGAAAAAGTGCTATAAGTCTGATTCATCTTTAGTTTTTGTTTTGGTTTGCATGTCATAATGACCAAATGACTTAAAATACAAGTATAGGAAGGTGAAGAGAGAATCTGTAACTATAACTACGTTGTCTGTGTGTTACTAGTGGATTATTCACACGTGCATAGCTTTCAAAGATAAAAACTTTATTTAGGTTGAAGGCGTGTTTACCTACAGATAGTATGTTAAAATGCTCCGTCACAAGTCAAAGTCCTGCATTACCTCATAAAAACTGTTCCACATTATTATCAGTTTCCTGAATCCCAGGGATCACTCAGGCGTCTTTCAGCTAATTGATTTGCATTTTAGACCTCTGAGCTTTACTACTCTTCTTATCTAAGTTACCAGCAGGAAGTTGCTTTAGTGAACATGCTTTGATGGACCCGCTTTGCACGGCCACATTCAGCACTGATAGCAGAGTGATAGAGCAGGCTGCTAGCTGGTAAACTGTAAATAGTAATTCAAGGAATGTGTTCCCACCGCTTCATTAACCCTGTTCAGGACTTTCATGTTGCCATACGGGGCTGCAAGGTGGAGTGGTGGTTAGCACCGTTGCCTCGCAGGAAGAAGGTC